CTATGCTTATTCTTTAATGTATTTTTTTCATTCATTTAAACTTATTTTCCACACCACTACATATAAATTATTTATAAGATCATATGCAACGCCACTTTAGAATTTAAACATCAAGGTCTTTCGTGGTGTTTTAAAGAGCTGGTGATTTTTACCAAAAATTGTGAAGGATTTGTCTTTTAAATGTGTGCCACTAGAATAAATAATTTGCACAAAGCGTAGTAACTATAATCTCCTAATATAGTATAGTTTGTTCACCTAGGAGTTGGCACTTGGCTCCACCTCCTCGGACGCAGAGTTCATTTCAGCGCGGGGGAGTAAGAGGATCCCCGCTTGAAATCGAGATAACCTCTAATGCGCGCAAAGCTTCCACACGGTTTTTTTATAGGTTGTCCGATCAGACCCCTATGAAGACCAACCAGTTTACGAAAGAGCTCTTTAATAGAAAATGTAGTAAAAATAAGAAAGTGGTAGCAAATATATGTCTAAAAATTTGTTTAAATTTTCAATATTAGTTTGTCTTATTGACTTGTCTACCACTACAGATTCAATTCTCAAATATATATGACAAATTCCTCTCAGTCACTTTTAAAGTAGAATTTGGTTTCATGCGCTCAAACTGTTCACTTTTTAAATTGTCTGTGCAGACTACTTATAAGAAACCGTGTGGAGGCTTTCTGATGTAGAAGGTGATGGCCAAGCCAAACACCAACAGATAGTTCTTTTTCAGTCACTTACTTCGCTTTTTCATCAGCTATTATACCATTTTCGTTATTCCAGCTAATTTATATTTAAAAACTTTTTCCCAGCAAAATATCTCAAAAAGAACAAACTATTCAATAAAAAGAGAGAAATATCAACTAGTTTATGAAATAAAATGCACATGTTCAAAATATGCGCATGAAGATTGCGAAATAAATATTTTTGTCATACGATCGCCAAATAGCAGCCTTGTTCACATCCTTCTTCCCAAAATAGCGAAATAGTATCATCGGATACCACGTGACGAACAATAGTTGGCGGGCCTGCTTTAAGTTTTAATAAAGTGCTCACCACTTTATTAAAACTTTTGCAGAAAGCGGAGCAATTGGTATCCCTGCTTGAAGCAACAAAGAGTATGTCATTTCACTCAGAAAGTATCGTCTAAAGACGTAATTGCATACCTGCCAACTCTTCCGCATTTTCCGGAAGATTTTGTTTTCATATTTAAAGTGGTAGTAAATATATACTATTTTTTCTTTTAAAAACTTAATTTTTAAATGATTTTGATCACCACTATTCTTACAAAAGTTAAGCACATATATTAATATGCGTTACTATCATGGTTGTCAACTTAAGTTTGCTCATATACAACGTATTTGTTTGCTTAAAATTGAAGTTTTAATTCCATTTTAATACCACTGGGAAAAATAATAATGGAAGGGATTAAAAGTTGGCAGGTATGTAATTGCTATTGCAGGGATACCAACTGCTTCGCTTTCCACAAAACAATTAACAAATTGGTAGCGAATTTAAAAGTTAAACTTGTAGAATAAGGATAATTACGCTACCTTTTAACGGTAACCACAGGATGCTTGCTTTGACTTGACTGGATAGGCGGGCATCTCACTCTTTCATCTGTGATTTAAATACGTGAAGTGGACTTTCAGCATAGGATACTTGCAATAAAGTTGCATTGCATATGACACTTCGAATTTTCGATAGTGGCAGAAAAATTACTTAAAATGAAAAATACTAAACTAAAAATAGCTTAAATTTCGTTCCAACAATAAATATTTTGTTACAAAACAGAACAAATTGGCATCTCTGCATTGTTTTCTGCCTGACTAAAATTTTCCGAAACATGCGATTTCGGAAAAAGTTGACTACAATGTTAAAAAAAACGTGTTGTTAACACGACTTTTGGAAATATTAGTTGTAAATTACTTTCAAGCATTTTGCGTATAAATTTATTTTTACATTTAAATTAGTAGCAAAATGTATGATTTTATTCTTAGATTTCTAATTTTAATTTATAGTGATATTAAGCACTACTACATATTAAGTTATAAAAGTGTGCGGTTATTTTTAATCAGAACAGAATAAAATAGATATTTCTGCTTATAATTGTAATAAAATTTTTATTTTACATTCATTGGGGAAAATCATACTTTTAAGAAAATTAAGAACAGTGTAAAATGAAACAAAGAAATGGACTAAAAATTAATTAGGTTCTAAAATTAAGACCAAAGTATGCAAACATAAATTTTACACCTTTTAATTAAAATTGATGAGATTAAAAATTTACCCGTTTCTTTTAATATTATTACAAATATGTCTGGTCCTTTTTTTGCGCAGTAATCGCAAGTGAAATTTTATCATGTTGAAAAAAAATTCATGTCAGCGAAATATTTAATGAATCACAATAGCGGGAAAGATATTTGACTTGGAATTTTTCGCATGATTGCCATTCCTCGTTTCTGAAATAGTGGAAAGAAAAAATAAAAATAACTATTTTAAACTGCTCGCTCGCCAGATAAAGAACAAATTTATTAAATCATTCAGTGTCCGCAATCAGTACGTTTTCTGGAGGGACTCGTAGATTGCATTTAAATGAGATTTCCGCCTTTCTCGAATCTCCCCCTTCCCCCCATCGAATTACTATTTCGAAAATGTTTTCTTTCTTTTTCTCTCAGACGATTTCATTCGCTTAATTTAAATCATTCCGCGCGTCAAAATGCATTTCTGCTGCCTCGACGTCAAAAAAACGTTTTAACTTCGCACAAATTTTGAGCAAACGTAAAAAGAAAATGTTAAGCTAAATTAAATTTCTTTCACTCATTTGTTCCGTTGATGGATAGAGGGCGCTAGTGAAGCAAACTCCGCGCACAACATTTATATTTCGTTTTATTTAGTAAAAAGGTATAAAATTTTTAATTACTACGCAAAATCTCATATTGCAAATCGTCGGTAAAATTTTTATTTTAGTGCGTATATAGAAAAAAAAAAAGAACATTGCTTGAAATGTGCGTTCGGAAAATTGGGTATTGCTGAAACTGGTTTAAAAAAATAAACGCATCTCAACCCATAAACCGCACCTTCGATCTGTTCCGAGTAATTTTTCCAAAAGATAAAAACTGAAAGAACTGAAACTTAATTGATGGAAAAATTCTTTGTTTTAAATGTCTCTGCGAACAGAATTGAATAGCAAGTGAAATCATATTAAAAAAGTGCTGTTAGATGAGAGATAAATAATTCAAAAGTAAACAATTACTTTTATTAATTTTATTTTAGTTTTAAAACAGTTCGAATCATGAAAACGAAATTGCAGATTCGAATTCTTGATTGCAATTTCGTGAGGATCAGATAATTCTGACACGATTTCATGTTAATTCATACGATAAAAGAAATTATTTTAATTTTAATATAAATAAACTAATTACTTGGAATTCTAATGTTTCTAAAAACATCTATTTAAATACCGTTTTTAATCAAATGAATAGAATTAAAAGAATATGTAGTAATGTTTATTTGTCCAAAAGAGAAATAGACAAACTCTTTCAAAATTTGATTTAAAAAAACAATGGATACCCAACTGATGTAATTAAATTCTATCTTAAATCATTGGGTTAATTGTATATTATTATAAATAAATTTACCAAAAAACTACTTCGTTAATTTATATAATTTTTACCATGTGAAAATCCATGGCTAAAATTACGTGCAAAACAGGCAATTCATGTTTCTTTATCTTTTTTATTTTATTTTATTTTTTTCCTAAATAAAAGTTCCGTTTATAAAATTATTAATTTTCAACTTCTTTAAATTATCCAGTATAATATTACCTTGCACACATCCATTTTCGGACCCATTTTTAGTACCTAACAAATCAAACGCACTTCAGTATGGCTGTAAGAACGCACTATAAAACAAAACTCCTCTATTTACGCATTTATCTCAATTTGTGCTTCTATTTTCATATTTTGTAATCTGGCAATCTTGTTACGAAAATATTTTAAATCATTTGAATTCGCTTTATAGATTTCGTTTTATGTTTTATTCTGTTTTTTCTTTATATTTTATTTTCTATTTATACGTGATATTTTTACTTAATGTGTTCTATTTTATTTGTTGTAAATTTTTTGTAAAACTTTTTTTGAGTGCTCCTCACTCTATTGTATTGATATATTTTGCTTTGGCTAGATTGATGCAATATTAGAAAGCACTCTTTTTTGCGGATATAATCGCGTGGGCTGATGAAAAGATTATATCTTTAATTTAGTTATTATATTCGCAATATAAATACACAAATTTACATCGAAATTGTAAGCAAATAAACCAATAAACAAATTATAAAATTTGCTATTAATTGAAAAATTTTCTGATACTAAGTTGGCATCGATGAATGTGCCTGCAAAAATACTCCACTGTCCCCATAGTTTCTCATATCCAATGTTGAAACAATTCCAGCATTTAAAAACTCTGATCAAGTTATCGGAGTTCGTGGTTGTAAAAGCATTTGATTTTTGCCTTAATTTCAAAAAAAGATCCATGACGTCTATTTAATGACAGTCAAACTTAAGTAGGAGACTGGAAAGTAATGTCGTTTCGGTGCATTTGATATTCGTTAGTTTTAAAATCAAATTCCATTTTTTTTTATTCGGCATTGTAAGGTAGGCTAACGGACTTTGTAGGGAAAGGCTAACGAGGGTGAATACGTTATTGATTAAAAATAAAATCTTGGTAACAAATATCAAGTGCACCGAAACGACACTACTTTCCGGTCCCCCTAATATATCCTCGTAGATTTTCACGCTCATGATAATTTTTAATAATTAGTGGTAGTTGCAGATAGTTTAATACTTCTGGAAGAAGATTGTATTGCCTTTTCCTAAAATAAGCAAGTCTGATTTACGAAAGCTTCTGTTTTTCTGACTATACATTTTTATAACTTCCATAGATCTCTGATTAATTTACATATGTTTGACTTACATCATTTTCTAATTAAATTTTTTTTTCTGCAGCATTCTTTTTGCCGACATCGTTGGTTTCACAGCAATATCTTCCACTTGTACAGCTCCCGAATTAGTGAAAATTCTAAACGAACTCTTTGCTAGATTTGACAAACTCTCTGACGTAAGTCCACCACTTTTACTTTACAATTTTACATACTAAGTTAATGTCATAACAGAAAAATGTCAGAACTATTTACAGAGATGCCACCTGCTCCAGACACGCCAAAGTAATTTTTAAAAAAACTTTAAAAAAAACTACAAACTAAATTTTGCAAATATTTTACTAGTTTTTCTTGCATTTAAGAAGGTATAGCATGACATAAGTATTTAAGAGTGGTGAATTGTATAATCTTACGAATTATTTAGAAATAGTGGTAGTTAAAGATGTACTAAATTGAATTTATTAAACCAAGAATCAAAATTGATAAACTACCACTTTAAATTATATATTTGCTGACGGAGCAAGTTGGCATCTCTGTATTTAAGCTAAATTATGTATTTTCATATTCCTTTTTGACTGCATAGTTGTTGATTAGATATTAATCATACCAAATACAACCCTTTCCGAAATTAATTCAACTGATAGTGAAACCACAATCGAATTACAATTGTTGGAAGAAATAAATGTATGTTTTGCCTGAGCTAGTTATCTAGCATCTTCTGATTATGTATTTTCTGAATGATTTTTACTTATATATTTTAAGCTGTAACATAAAAAATTTTCCTATGTTAAATTTTGGCTTAATAGTTTTTAATTTAGAATAATTTTTAACCTCTAACTTCATAAATATTAATTAAATTCATATTACTATTATATGACGAGCTTAAAGCTCTATCATAAAAAAAACAGTATATATACGAGTATTCCCGTCTGTAATTGCGTTTCTGTAATCGCTTGGAAAAATCATTTTCGAAGAGAAAAAAATATGCTGGCTTGTGTAGGCCTGTCACTTAAGAGAACACTTCTTTGAGATGAGTAAAAGTTGGCTTCATCTTTTTAAATTGCAAAATAAAAGTGGTTGGTTAAAATGTTTGTGTTAAACAACTAACATCTATTACAATTTTAGTGGCTTAAATTATTTTTAACAATAGTGGGGGTAGTTTTAACCCTCCTGAGAGAGTCCAAATTATTTGAGATTTTTTAGGTGATACATTTTCAACATCATATGGCACTTAAATTAGACATTTTTGTAATCTCACTTTCTGTGCTTTTTCTGTTTATAGAAATATCATCAGCTACGCATAAAAATTCTTGGTGACTGCTATTACTGCATTAGTGGTGCCCCTGAGGAAAGGCCAGACCATGCAGTCCTCTGTGTTCATATGGGTTTGAGCATGGTTGAAGCCATCAAGTAAGTTTATAAATATTTAGATTAAAAAAATTACTACAATCTTCATAAAAATCACAAACTAAAATAAAAAACAAAATTAAACAAAAAAATATTTTCAAATAAAAAAAGACAGAACAATTTTAATCTGATCGAAGTAGCAAAAGGTACAGACCATCAATTTCGAAACACGTGTCAGCAATTTTCGGTCATCATAGCAGTTCATAGTGAATAAGTAATGCGTTTTGTGTTTTTATTTTTAGAAAAAAATAAAAAAAAAGAATATTTCAATTCAAATTCTAAAATTATTTTCTCCTTTTCAGTAAAATTATTTTCTGTTATTCAGTTTACTTACAAAAAAGTAGTTTTTATAATTTCTGCTTTATTATTAGTGTTTTTTTGTCAAGATTTTTATGTTAATTTGTTTGTGTTGGAAAGAAGGGGAGATTTCGATTGGTAATAAATTTTCTTGCTCTATTTATATTTATAATTATAACTTGTATTGGCATCAGATTTATAGAAATCTAATGTTTAACTTTAGAAAAAATTTAAGCACTCTAGCTAATTGGAAAATTGTCAAAATTCTAGGTACTTTATTTATGTTTCACTAGAGCTGCGCAATAGGCTATTGGTGACGGTCTGGGCAACATCCCTGACGATAATCTGAAGACATGCCATTTCAATTTTGATCCTCTGCACGGGGATGTCTCCCCCACTTTGGTAGCCCGAAGACCTGGCGCCTGAAGTCAAGCACTTTACGATGGAACAGTTTAACGAGCGCCGATACCGCGCACTCTCTGTAACTACGCAGGCTAATCAAAGTAGTCACCCACCGGCTTACTGACCAGAGCTAGAGATGACTGACTTCGGTATTCTACTAGGAACCATGTCTTTACGATCAATCCACTGTATAATGGGAAGGATCACGATTGCTAAATTCAAATTAGCGTTTCGATATCTATTGTTAATGGCTGAAGGGTTTGTAGAAAAATAATAATTATAATCCACATTCACACGTGGCATATTTATATTGAGAATGGAATACAAATGAAACATATGCTTTCTTCAATAATAACTTAGGAAATAATTAAATTGAATAATTAATATCTTATCGTAATTTATTGCCATATCTACAGGGAGTTCCCATACCAGGACTATTTGAAGAATTCTTATCAATTAAAATGAAAACTCTCGGGAGAGATCGCTATCTGTTCTACAGTAAAATGGCCGTTTTTAAGGGTTACCTCCATTGGCTTCAAAATGTTATCGAAGGTACATGATTTATTTTTTGCAAGCTTTTTAATTTTAGTCAGGGTCATTTTCTTGGTGCAGAAATGCCACTTGCGTTGGCGTCATAAAAACCGGATAGATGAATAATCTTTAGCATCAATAAAAATGATACCAACTGATATAATTATGTGTAAAAACAAATTTAACAATTATGAAAGATAGAGCCGCGATGGCTCAGGGGATAGAGCGTTCGCCTTCCAATGAGGCGAACCGGGTTCGAATCCCAGTCGATATTCGGCTTGCACCGAACACAGTGTTGGCTTGAAATATCCTCCGTGGTAGACGGATCATGGGTTACAGTCCCCTTGCCGTCAGGCTAACCGTGGGAGTAGGTTCTCGTGGTCTTCCTTTCCATATAACGCAAATGCGAGTTAGCTCCATTAAAAAAATCCTCCACGAAGATAAATGTCTCCAAACTCTCGATCCAGGAGTTCCCTTGTCTTCTGGATTGGGTTCAAAATTACAAGGCTACGGAGTTGAACATTAGTAGTCAAAGACCCATAAAATTGGGTCGGTTGTTCAACGACGGCCATAAAATAAAATAAAATTATGAAAGATAGATAGATCTAACTATTTTAAATAAATAAACAATAATGTTTTTTGAAGTTTGCATTTAATTTTGTAGCATATAAATTAGTTTACTTTAAAGCATTTTTTGCTTGCGATACTTAATTTTTTCCTAAAGTAACTTTTTTTTTCTAATTTAACTTTCAACTCTAAAAATAAATCATGGAAAGAATTACGTGCCACGCGAAATTGGTAGTAAATAAAGAAATTCGTATCATAGAGGTGGTCTTTCCTAACTTTTCAAAGTGGGAGTAACCACGACCCCATAACATTTCACCAATACTAAGCATCAGCTGTCCAACACCTCCTAGAAGAAAGAAGGCCTCAGCACGGATCACTTTAGTAGTCCAACTTAACGAACATAAACTGTGCAGTAGAGAGGAGATAAGAAAGATGTCACGGCGTTTGTGCTACTAAGCTGTGCAGTGGTGGTAAATACGAAAGATGCCATTACTTTTGGACTACTAAAGGATCAAAATTTCTTTTTATCAATCGTGGTAGTTTATCAATCGTGACTCTTGGTTTAATAAATTCTATTTAGTAGATTTTTAACTACCACTATTTCTAAATAATTCGTAGACTTATATGATTCACCACGTTTAGGAACTTATGTTAGGCTATACCTATTGAAGAGCAAGAAAAAATAGTTAAATATTTGCAAAATTTATTTTGTTACCGTTATTTTAATTAATTTGGCGTGTCCGGAGCAGTTGGTATCTCTGCTAACCATGTGCTTTATATGAAAACTTTTCATTTGTTAGTATTGGTGTTATCAATGCGCTTCAGAAAAATTATGGATTAATGGCAACAATCAATTTTTTGTGGCAGGGTAACCTGTTTTTTAAGAGGTTAAACTTTGTTTTTTTTTCTTTCTTTTTTCATGGTGTTTTTTCCCATATATTAACTATACTTATCCATTATTAACTTTTTCATTGTTGTAACTCCCTGTAGATGTTTCTAATGTATTTCCATTAGGAATCGCTGGTTAATTTTTAAGTGAAGAAAAAGCAAAAGAGCCTCGAAATGTATCAAATCATTTCAATGAATAACATCGAATCCAGTTTGATTGCTGGATCAATCATGATTAAATATCAACTAATTTATAGCATTTTTGATAGTGCTTTTGTTTTTTTCTTCGCTTGAATAGTAATTTTAGACTCTGTCCTTGTTTCGTTTTATTTTACTTCCTTCATTTACATATATGCTAAAAATATATATTAAGTGCGGTCATTAGAAAACACTCAGTAAAGCGATAATATCTCATCAACACTGAAACATTTGTTTGCCTTAATACCTGCACTGATTTTAAATTTTTGTAAAAGACTTTTTTAACAAATAAATTGAGAAATTTTTAGGGGTTGAAATTTTTTTTAGCTATCGTGATAGGCACAATTGTTTGTGATATAAGATTAAATACAAATCTTATAACATCAGACTTTATTAAAAAATTTAAAATGCAATTAAAATGGATACAATTAAAATTAAATTGCGATTAAAACTGACTCAAGTATTTCTTAATTTTAAAATCTTCTTCTTTTAATTAATTTCTTGGAATGCTTGTTGCCAGTTGTATCGAAATAAACATATTCCAATTATTTAATATTGATATTTCGTTCTTTCCATACGACTTACGTCTGGAAAACGAACATAGTTTTAGTTGCATCGTTTCAATAATTAGTAAAAACTCAATTAATAAAGGTCGATCGAAAATAAATTTATTTTCTAAATTAAAAATCTCTTAACCAAATGAAGCAGTTCTTTCCTTATTTTAATGAGCTCCTTTTTTTTATTGATATTTAATTCAAAAATGCAATGAAGAAAGAAAATGTACATAGACTTCTTCTTTCGAAATCAATCTTTTTTTCAACTTCATTGATTCTAACTTAGGTTCACGTAAATTTATTATTCATTTATTTTACGATGATTTTAAAAAATACAGATAGGGATTTTGTTTTAATTGAGATGATTTTTATTATGAATGACATGGTAAAGTAAATTATTTTTAATTTTCCCAGAATTAATCTTGTTTAATTCTTTAACGTATGTGATCATAAAGACTTTAATTTTATTGAGTTGTCTTTTTTCTTCAACTAAATCTTGACAGTTCGTTCGAAACAGGGCTGAAAGTACAGGGTGACAATCATTGAACAAAAAGAAATAAGACGTGAATTATTTAGAAACTGCTTGGTCCACAAACTTAATTCAACGTGTAAACGTTACTACAGATATTTTATTTTATAACAGTCATTGTACAGCCGACCAATTTTGAGTTTACGACTACCAATGACTAACCATCTCGGCGTAAAGATTTATTTGAACTTTAGACTTAATATTTTAAAAATCTTAACTTAATATTTCAAAAATTTACTTAAATATTTTAAAAATCGCCAAAATCTTAACTTAAATATTTTAAAAATCACCAATTTGACGAGATTTTTTTTAACATAGATGATCAAAATAATGATAAAAATCTTTAAATTAGTAAAGAATTTAAGTATTTGCGAACTTTATGATCCCAGATAATTCTCAGACTGTATATATTTAAAAATGAGGTCACAAACACTTTTCATTTTAACAAAATTTTGTACTTTAATTCATTCTAACGCTTCGTGTCATTTACAGAATTAGCAAAGAGGACGCTGTTTAAAACTAGAATACACGAATAACTGTTGCTAACTCACACCAGTTGTGAAAATAGCACATTATTCACGAAAAGCATTATTTCATGTGGCAGATTCTTCGAAAAACAGTCTTAAATAGATTAGACTAAACTAGACTTAACCTCATAGACACGAATAACTGTTGCTAACTCACACCTGTTATGAAAATAGCACATTATTCACAAAAAGCATTATTTATGTGGCAGGCTCTTCGAAAAACAGTCTTAAATGGATTAGACTAAAGTATACTTAACCTCATAGACACGAATAACTGTTGCTAACTCACACCAGTTATGAAAATAGCTCATTATTTACAAAAAGCATTATTTCGTGTGACAGAGTCTTCGAAAAACAGTCTTAAATGGATTAGACTAAACTCTTAACCTCATAAACACGAATAACTGTTGCTAACTCACACCAGTTATGAAAATAGCTCATTATTTACAAAAAGCATTATTTCGTGTGACAGAGTCTTCGAAAAACAGTCTTAAATGGATTAGACTAAAC